AAGAATCAGACGACTATTCTTCGGAAAATGAAGAATCAGAAAGTGAACCACATGACGAGATTCTGAGTGACTGAACTACGAATCATGAGTGGTGTAAACCTGATCGAGAGTTTACCATTGAGTTGGCTTCTATTACGACATGATGTATTTAGTGGCATAGTCGACGATCAACATATAGAAAAACCACAGCAAGAGGATGAACATCTTTTATTAAGACAAAAGACGCGTAAGATTAGACCTACAAAAGAGCAACAGGATCGTTCATTTGAAATGTCCAGTAAAGCTGCGACTTTGTTTGACATTCTTTTCTCCTGCTTTACAACCGAACTGAGAATAGGACAAAATGAGAGAGAACAGCAAACAAAGTCGGTGATATTTACGTTAATTCAGAACAAAAAGATGTCACGTGCTCCTAGCTTAGAATGGTGCATTCCTTTTCATTTCAAATTTGAAATTCAGAGGTTTACGTATCAAGTGTGATATGTGTACCTCTGGGTTACAGACTGAGAATGAAAAACTAGAAAAAATGATCTATTTCTTGTTCAAATTTCAAACAGAAGCTAAGGAATATTCTCTTGTGACTAGAGTTGATAGTTCCAATTTGAAGTCTATTTTACTTTTAGTATTTTGTAAATTTAAAAGTCATTTTTCAACATTATAAGAAAATGTTTTGTTTCCTGAGTAGAGCAACCCAAGCAAAAGCGACCCAATTTTTTGGGTTATTTATCTAGATTCAGGTCCACGTACATCTAGATGCACATGGAGCTGAATCTAGATAAATAACCCAAAAAATTGGGTCGTTTTTGCTTGGGAAGTATAGATCTGTCGATCCACGTAAACATTTCTGAGGTTTCCTTCATCATTCTCTATTAATTTATTTCGTTCATATACAGACACATAGTCGCATAATTGAAATCCTATTGGTTTCCATATTTTTGAATTTACTCCACTACGATGAATCTTCAACACGAAGCCGTGAAAAGCACGTTATATAGACAGCTTTCCACTCTCTATTGAATGACTGGTTCAGATTTTCGTAATGTTTTTGGATAAAACAGAACGGAGCGTAGAGATTTTTCGATAAAATCATATCTATCGATCTCACCCCAGCCGTTATCGCACAACTTTAACAGAAATTGAATATCAACTCTTAGAAAACGAACACGAGCTACGAAAATAGCGTAGTATGAAGTTGCCGGCTTTTGATTAATATCAGTTTGGAAGGAGTTGCGTGGAACGAACCAGTTGATAATTCAGTCCATCACTGATCAAATTTTCAATTGCTCATTGATTCAAAAGTTTAAATTTTGCAAGTTTTTTCTATCTATCAAAATCTTTTGCAAGCTATAAAACAGACATTCAGTCTCATACGTGCTTTCATCCAACTTGTCGTTGCATACCAGATGAGCACTAATTAATTATTTCTCATAATACTTAGGGCATACCAAATGTAATGACGCCATCACTTTATTTCCTTATAGAAAGCTTGAAGAAATTTTCTTTTTTTATGCAATTACAGACAAAACGATACTCTATTTTTCTATGCTATTTCATCACTATTGAACTAATATCATAACTAGAAAATTTTCAAAAGGAAAAAAAAAGAGCTATTTCTTACGATAGGTCATGGTTATATGAATACTGATATTTTTGAATAAGTTTTGATAGAAACATGGCAGAGAGCTGCGCTTTTCACCATTGAAAAGAGGAGAAGAAGACGCATCGAACTGTATATTACAGATTGTTTAACCTGTTTTTTGTAAGGTTTTCAGTTGACCTTTTAAAGAACAAACCTTTCTCGTATGTTGTTGACAGTGAATTTTCAATAATCAGGTTCACATTCCAACCGCTGCTCAAAGATCTGCAAACTGTGAAAGACTGGGTTGTTTGAATCTAATTATTTAGGGATAATATGTATTCTAGTCGAACCTCTAATACGATTTTCTAGCAAATTTTTCATTAAAAATGCATTTTTCAGATGGCTAGAAAATTGAATAAAAAACAATTTCGAAAATCATACTAAAAGATCTTAATATACGATTCGATGGATCTTCATCTCCTCTTTCCAACCGTAAAAATCGCAGTTCTCTATCTTATTTCTATGAAGAGTTATTCAAAAAATACTCACGAGCATTCATGTTACCATCACACATGCGAAAGCAACAGGTCTTATCGTAATTTTATAATTATGACATTAGATGAATAGTGATGATATAGCATAGAAAACTAGAGCGTCATTTTGTCTGTAATTGCATAAAAAAAGAAAATTTCTTCAAGCTTTCTATAAGGAAATAAAGTGATGGCGTCATTACTTTTGGTATGCCCTAAGTATTCATAATGAAACTGAACAAAAGAGAAAAACAGGATATGTTTTATATTTGCCGTATCCTGTCATAACCTCATTGTGGTTGTATTGGAATCCATCTGCAGGAAACGAAAAAAGGGGAAATTCCTTTTTTTGCAACAGAAACAGACTTTGTAATGTAGCATGCATTCAAGCACGATATAGAATTACAAGGTATCATAGCCTTTATCCAAGATATATACTAGTTCCGTGTTTCATTGACTAAACTGTTGATTACCATAAGAAGATTTGCAATTCATCAACATCGAACTTCAGGAAAAAATCAAAATTGCCCGTTTATAATCATCGCATATTTTTTACTTTGCACATTAGTCCGTATTCCTTTTTCGGGTTTTTACTGCGCCTCGGCTCGAATGTCATTCTGGCCTTTTCAGGTAAATAAATCAGCATGAAGCAAGAGCAATTTACCATAATACAGATATGAAATTCTAATGAATGATATAGATCTGAAACTATAAAGAATACAGTCAGTTTTTACTGATTTCAGGTCAACTCCGATGCTGTGTTCATGTTGTTCATGATGAACCTCAAGCTAATGATTGTGCTCTTTCAACTGACGCTGTTGATCATAATAGAGGTAGAACATCGTCACAAGTGTGTATGTGTTTGTGTCTCGCTCTTTTCTCATATTTATTAAACAGAACCGTTTTATATTTAATAACAGGAAGTAGCTGTTCAACACATTCTAAAAAAAAATAAGAAAAGTGAAACTTCAGTGGATGGTAAATGGTGTTCTGAACCTCCGATGGTTTTTATTATTTTATTCGTTATAAATACTCTGTAAAATGACAATTAAAAATAATTATGCACAAATCAAAACATGTTATTGAACACAATAAATAAGATAGTTTACAATTAAAACGTTGCACCATAATTAAGTAAAAAGTTTTTGTATGCTGTTTATCATTTGCTAGACTAAATCTAATATACTTAAATGCATGAAACTTCAAGAAAGGATAACCGAATCAGTTGAAGATTCAGTACTGTCATATGGTGCGGCTCACTAGTAGATGTGTATGGGGGCATATACAGAGGCAATTTTTGCATCTGTAGACCTTTATAGTTAGTTCATTGCTCAAAAGAATGGTGTTCATTTAAAATAAATTTTAAATGGATCCTACCAAATGAATTTTTTATTAAAATCCGCAAGAATCCTTTTCACTGTCGCGTACAATCGCATATTTGAATCATGATGAAAGTTTGAAAGAGCTTTTGAGTATTGGGGAATTTTTTGTGGCCACTCCAATAGTGCTGCAAGTTCTATTTTTTCAGCAAAGACGCCATATCCTAGTTTTTCTAAATACCATGCGTTAAGCACCTGCTCGTACTGATTCACGACTGGGACACTGAAAAATGGTCGCTGTAAGCTTACCGCTTCGTTCATCAGGGAGAGTCCACCATTAGCAATGACACCTTTAGCACGCGCCAAGTCATCCACAAATCCTTGTTCAGAAAAACCTTTGAATTCTAGATTACCAATTTTTTCCTCGCGACCATGCCCATAAATTATGCATTTTTCGCCAAAGGCTTCTAAAGTAGCGATAAGAGATGTATCACTTTTGCTAGTTTGGTAAACAAGAAAATGCTCGCCATGTCCGGCTGGTAATGTTTTTGCATCGAGAATAGCCTGGCGAAGAATTGGTGGAACAAGCATGGTTTTAGCTTGGTATGTGTCACGAATATGAGGATAAAAGAAACCAGTGATTATATATTGATCGCAATCTGGAAGTTTCGCCTGGACAAATGCTTTGTATGTACTGAATGCTTTTGGATCATACTTTTTAGCTTCGTCTGGAATTAAACACCGCTGTACAACTTGTTGATCGTCGATCGACAGGATTGGCAGACCATGCGTTTTAGCGAAAACATAAGCGAAGCTATCGAAGTCACTAATAACAGCCTGAGGTTTTCAAAAAACAAGATTTTGAAATTAAGCCACACTATTTTTGTTAACTATATTTGGTATGCGTTTCATGGTATGTAAAACTGAGGCTTTTTCGTCGAAAACATTGTTGATATATTGCATTATTAAATCTTCGATTTCTACTATATCGATAGCTGCCTGACCGTCGCTCGCTGGCGCACAACGTGGAAACTGACTTGGAAAGCTTCCATCAAGAAACTTATATGCACGATTACTCACGACCACTTTGACATGATGTTGTTCTTTCATGAGCATTTCAAGAATGACTTTAGATCGTGTTGCATGCCCCATTCCCTCACCGACTACACCATAGAGAATGCGCATGGTCTTAGATTTTGGTGGTTCAGTTAGAGGTAAAATTGATAAACGAATTATGCGACTAGCTTCTTCTTGTATTGTTTGATTATTCTTATCATCACCTAGTAACCGATTCAATCTTGATATTTGTATTAATAAATTCTTTAGTAAACTGACTGATAAATGTATTTAATGCAATTTTTGGCGAATAATCATTAAATAATCCAGTCAATGATCTAATATTAGAATTTCTATCACTCACTTTACCATATACATTAATTACACAGCTAGATGGAGATTTCTAAAGCAAAGGTTTAAATATTTGTGTTATAGCTAATGTATCAAAAAACTCTTTTGCTTCCAATCCGTGAGGTGTCATAATATTTATTTTAAATTGATCATTATTAAATAATATTCCAACATTAACTAATATATTTAATTTTCCGAACTGTTTATCGATTAATTCAGTAATTTTATCAATTGTTTTGTGATCAATATCATCAAGTAAAATAAAGTTAGCTTGAATCTCTTCATCATTCAACCTCTTGTTACTCGTTCAAGGTTCGTCTCATTATTTGAACAAAATAAAACACATACACCTTTTCTTCCTAATTGGTAAGTTATTTCATCTTCTAATTCATCACTAGTGCCAAAAATTAAAGTAACAAGAAGTGACATTAATCAAGAGTTTTTCCACAATTAAGTAATCTAAAATTAATATGGTCAGTTTTACTAATTACTATGAGGTAACTAGTTGTGTTACAAAGCAGTAATATTCTTTCTTCTATTATAAATGATAAATGTAAACAAATAAAAGCAGCACAATACTAATAAAATTATACATGAGGAAAAACTGTTATTACATCTTGATCGTCCAAGAACTAACGTATAACCTCTAGTTCAAACTTTGCATGAAGTTATGTTGACACAAAACGCACCGACTATCTTGTTGTCATAAAATCATGATCACACGGTTAGCTGCATGTCAACTTTTTTCTTTGGGTTTCTCACTGGGTCTTAAACAGACAAAATAAAAGTATTCAAATTTTAAAAATCCAGTTTTAAAGATCTCGTTGCCGGAAATCCAGTTAGCACATCTTAGAGAACAAACATTCCCATTAAAATATGATATAGGGAAAGTGTTGAAAAATGCGTTAAATCCGGCGACAAAACCGGCATGTCATTCTACTGGTCCCAGCACACCAAGGTTTTTGTCGTGTCCCTCGAATTTGCCCAAACAGAAGAAGCAGTTATAATTTTTCGACTTTAACAACTTGTTCCAATCTGGTGATGAAATTTATGACTTATGGATTGATTTCCAGAACCGAAAAGAGATATCTCATCTGCGATTGATATATGATGATGGTCTCACGGCAAAATAAACAAAAAGTTTCGGTGGAGAAATAGAGCGACCTATCGTTCTAATACACCTCGCACATCAAACTCTTTAGGCTGTTGATCTATTCTGTTTAGGGGTTATAAAGAGAGTGACTAGACAAAAAACATCCACCGAAACAGTTTCTAAAGTCAGAGAGTTTGTATTCAGCCAGCTGTCCGACCGCAAAAGACATTTGTTGCCAACAAATGGCAGTAAACAATTGTCGCGTCAGTAGTGCATGAGAGACGACGTCAATTTACCGCTGCTGGAGCAGGTAATAACGACATTTTCTGGTTCAAACAGCCCTCT